TTTTTCGACGTCCAAATGTCGAGAGATCTTTCAGACGCAAGGCCTGTAGCACACTGAGCCACCAAGGCTCCCTAGTAATATTTGAACCACTAGACTTTATGCATAATATGTCAGAACATGCAGAATTGGTAAAATATAATAATGTGAAACTTACACGAGGAGCTTCCATGCCACACCATAAGCACTTTATTCTCATATAATGAAGCTCTATTTGTATACACCTGAAATAGATATTTTTACGTTATTTATTTCATCACAAAATATTAACTGTATATAATATATACAGTTTTCAACCCTGAAATAGGTTGGACGAATTATGGGTGCACGTTATTCTCATCGAAAAAGTTTTGGGAATTTCTCACTAGTGGTTATCCAATCAATATTGACAGTCTGCTTTTACATATTTTGTTGCATTTATTTCTATGGATTCGCTTTTTCAAATCCTCTCAACATTATGACCGTATTGTAGTGTAGATAGTGTGCGGGTTTTTGTTATCAGCTATTAGTCTGAAACTTGTTCATTTCTACCTAGTTTTGACAGAGCCGACTCAGAAAAATTTGGATGTTTCTACATCGCCATTTTTCAAGATAATCAAGAACTGATCCCCATACTTTTTCTATGTTTTAAGAAGAGAAACAACCCTGATTCCCTGCTTTCGAGGGAAAATTACTCCTCATAACAAACCTAATTTTTCTGATTATGCCTATCTTGATCAAATAAAGGTGAATGAGCTTTTCTTATCTTACCCTTGATCCTTCAAGTCAGTTTTTCCATCAATGATATAAATCAATTCTCAACCAATTAAATTCATTGAACAATTGTGCACAAAATGATTATGTATAGATTTGAATAGCTATACCATTTGAGACACGACTTTTGTTGGTCATATTGGCTGGAGAAAGTGGGATTTACTTTTCATTGATTAAAATACTAGACTACTGAATCAAGGGTAATATATAAAGTAAACTCGAACACCTTTTCTAAATCAACTAGGTAGAAGTGAACAAGTTTCTGACGATTATGAAATGAAAATTACTCTTAACTTACCCCCATTTGTTTCAAGAGAGGCTGGGTGGACATGATATGGCAGCTTAGCCAAGTACAACATAGGTGGTCCTAACAAGGTAGTCCACAGGCTGCCAAAACTAAACTACACGCGAGCCCAACCCGAAAACGCGAAAATTTTGCTCCGTGTGAACTACCTCCAAAAACCTAGGTTGCACACCATATCTAACCATGTTGTCCGTAGCTGAAGACGAGCTACAATACTCGAAACACTGAAATGTAAGAAAACGCCATAGTAAAAAAACAGAATAGAAATAAAAATAAACTATGTTTTACGAGGTTATAATTATTTATTTTTACTTTTCTGATCAAACTCAATTAAAATCTATATGTAACACTTTTTAGAATCATAATTTAAACTTTAGTCCAATAAACTAAAATTGTAAGATTTGGCTGTTGTCACTTCCAGGTATCTAGTAACATTCTCAGATCATATAGTTTGTACCGAATTGTCTCATCATGATATCTGCTGTATCAAGGGTGACAATCATCAGACAAACTCAAACACGCTTGATAAATCATTATGCCAATTTCCAAGCAAGCAATTATACACGTACGATTTATTTGCATGTAAACAGCACAATTTTAAACCTTTATAATCTACAACTATGATATACTAACCTAAACAGGAATGGTATCCAACCATGGTGTATTAACTCAATAGTTAAAACCGCTATTGAGCTCCCTGGCCTGAAACGAAATGACAAAACCATCAAGTTAGAATGTTATCGATGTATTCAGTGGACAGAGAGTTGCAAAAACGTGAAATACAATAATATTATATTGAATAATTACGCATAGTCTTTGATAATACCCCCTGTTCGAAGCAATTTATGTCATTGTGATGGCATTTCAACTTCAAAATTACACTGGTTAAAATATCATGAAACGTTTCGACATATAAAGAAACTTGAACAGTGAAACTACTTGGAATCATTTTCCTTTTTTACTAAATGTATAAAAGTAGTTTGAAAATAGGGCCAAGGTCGGGCAGGCCTTAGATCCGATTCCATAGAATTCCGCCTTTTTTCATTCATAATCCTTATTTTGATTCCTAGTTCAGAGCCAAGCTTTGCCTCAAAGTCCCGTATCTCGACACAAATTTGCAATGGATTTTTGCTTAGAGTCTTACATGTAACTTTGATATTTTCTTTCTCATGGCAAATAGGGAGGGTGGGGGCATTTTTAAAAATGTATCTAAATTTTAGAGAATTTCAAAAAGTCGACTTACCGGTTGCTATAAACGAAGCAAATTGACTGAGCGAGTATTAACTAGTTAGGAGTGAATTTCACTTACTATCGCTGTTGTGATTAAAATCTATTGTCTTGATTACTATTCTGTAAACCTTGTATATAGTCCGAAACCTGTTGTTTTTTTATAGCCTCTTTTAAAGACAATAGACGCATTTTAAAAAGACAGAGTTAAAATCAAATTCAAAAACCAGTTATTTAAAAAAAAACAAGGGAACCTTCAAATAGAATTCCAAACTATGATAGCCACTTATCAAAGAATCTATAGAACATCCACATTCACGATATCTTCAAGTTAAAACTATAAAAAAAATGCTCTATGGGTTTAGAGGCAAATATGGCCTATAGACAACTTTTTAAATACAAACTTTTGGCTCAAGTTTTGATCTTGATCTTGATATGGCCAATAACCAACTTAGCCAAATAAGCCAATTTCTCTCATATTTTGGTCTGTTCCTACTAATTGGACCCCAGGGAGTTAAAAAAAACTAAAAAAAAATAATTAAAATCTGTAAGTTTCAAAAGTGGCAATTTCTGGTCTGCACAATGGTAGTCAAAAAGTGCTCAATCGCAAATAAATTTTTTCCTTGAAAAGTTACAAAGCTACAAGTCGGAAACTTTCTGGGAATATCCACATGGACTATCCCTACATGTGGGAAAAAACAACTCAAATATCTGCCTTAGAACAGAAAATAATTTTTTACATTTTCAATGCATATTGGCCATAGAGGCAAATATGGCCTATAGACAACTTTCTCAAATACAAACTTTTAGCTCAATTTTTGATCTTTTCCTACTAATTAAACCCCAAGGACAAGAAATCAAATCAAAATCTGTAAGTTTTCAAACTGGCTATATGCAGTCTGCATATTGGTGCACAAGAAGTGCTCAAAGACAAATAAATTTTTTGCGTGAAAACTTACAAAGCTACAATGCTGAAATTTTGCACCAATCTTCACATGGACTATCCCTACATGTGGGAAAAAACAACTCAAATATCTGCCATAGAACAGAAAATAATTTTTTACATTTTCAATGCATATTGGCCATAGAGGCAAATATGGCCTATAGACAACTTTCTCAAATACAAACTTTTAGCTCAAGTTTTGATCTTTTCCTACTAATTAAACCCGAAGGACTTCAAAAAACACAAGAAATCAAATCCAAATCTGTAAGTTTTCAAACTAGCTATATGCAGTCTGCATATTGGTGCACAAGAAGTGCTCAAAGACAAATAATTTTTTTGCGTGAAAACTTACAAAGCTACAATGCTGAAATTTTGCACCAATCTTCACATGGACTATCTGCACATGTCAGAAAAAACAGAACTCAAATATCTGCCATAGAACAGAAAATAATTTTGTACATTTTCAATGCATATTGGCCATACAGGCAAATATGGCCTATAGACAACTTTCTCAAATACAAACTTTTGGCTCAAGTTTTGATCTTTTCCTACTAATTAGACCCCAAGGAGTTCAAAAAACACAAGAAATCAAATCAAAATCTGTAAGTTTTCAAACTAGCTATATGCAGTCTGCATATTGGTGCACAAGAAGTGCTCAAAGACAAATAAATTTTTTGCGTGAAAACTTACAAAGCTACAATGCTGAAATTTTGCACCAATCTTCACATGGACTATCTGCACATGTCAGAAAAAAACAGAACTCAAATATCTGCCATAGA